GTAAATCCTCATGGAACACTGTATATTTTTAAGAATATGAAACAGATTTTTTAAACAATATTTTAGACAGCATAGACACTGAGCAAGAGTTTTAATATTGAAAGAGATTATCTATCTATTACTTTCATACATTGTGATAGAACTAGAAGTATCTAATCCTTGATTTAATAATCTACATATTCACATATAACAAAAGAGATCTTTACCTCTCGATTAATTAATTCTTTATTTATTTTATTGAAATTATTATTTAAAACAATATATACATTAATATTAAATAACCATAGGCATAATTAAGAAATTAATAACTAACCTAAAGTTTATGATTGTTTAAATGTTATATTAATTAGGTAATAGTATCCCAATAATTATTATACTTTTAAAATTAAAAAAAAATATGTTAGTGTATTTTAGTTTAAAATTAATATTTTTAGTATAATATACATTTCTGTTTTATTAATTAAGTTTGTACTTTTCTAGAAAACCTATCAAGTTCGTCCACCAGTTCAAAATAAAAACAGTCGACAAAAAAAATCAGATGTTATAGTTGACAAAGTTTTACTACAGGCTAATGAATTGATTCGTCAGTCAAGTATTGAACCAAAAAAATACATACAAAATCAGTTGATGTTTAAAAAGAATAAAGATAAAATTGGAATTATTGAAAATTCTTTAGATTCTTTATCAGTTCCACTAAACAATGTCACACAATTAATAGATGTGCCTGAATTATTTTCTCCTGATATTACTCTTGATGATAAWACATCTATTCAAACAGTGAATATTGAATTGGATTCTAAAATAAATGTCATAGATAAAATTGATAATATAACATCAATAGACAACCGTGTTTCTAACACAACAAAAGATACAGAACAAGTTATTGTAAATAAAGAAGAAACTGGACGAGTACAAAAAGTTTCAAGTCGAATAAAAGACAATCCAGTTGAAATGACTGTAACTAAAACAGTAGAAGACATATTAAATGATATTAGTTCTAAAATAGCCAATCAAACAGAAATAATTGATGAAGAAAATTTAATTGATGAACTAGCTGATCTCAATGAAGACCTTAACTCTGTATGTAAACTTAAAAAAGCATAATTTGAATTAAACTAATTTATGTATAATTTATTACATTCATTTTTTTCTAGTCAAATTTTGTTGCTCCATCTAACTCTAGTCACGATTTAATGAACAGACTATTATCTGATGATAGTCTTAATCATAATGACAAAAACGACTCAATAACATCRGTAACTGATGACAAACCTAAAGGTTCTACTATAGTGGTTTATGGAAAATCTGGTAGATTAGTGACACTGCCTCCAATTGAGATTCCCAAAACTCGATCATTAGTAAAAAAAGAAGTATGTATTTTGACAAAAATAAATTTTAAATTACATTTTGTAATWTATCCTTAATATTTTTATTTTAGAATCTTGATGCAAGTATAAAAGAGCAAGGTAGACAAAGACGTTCATCAGAAAAGTAAGTATTAATAAATAATATTTAGGATTTCTACAATTATGACTTCTTATGTGATATTTATGTAAATGTATATTCATTTTTGTAGTTCAAAAAGCATTAATGATTATAGTGAAGAATCAGATACTGATAGAGAAGGAACTATGACTTCAGAGGATGATCCAAATAGGCTATGGTGTGTATGTAGAAAACCTCATAATAACAGGTATTATTTTTAAACAAAATTTTAGTTTTAATTTAAATTTAAAATAAATATGTATAATTTTAAACTTTATTCAGATTTATGATATGTTGTGATACTTGTGAAGATTGGTTCCATGGAAAATGTGTGGGTATAACAAAAGCCTTGGGTGAACAAATGGAAGCTCGTGGTGTTGAATGGAATTGCCCTCCATGTAAAAAAAAGCGGACAGAAGATGCACGTAAAAAATCTGAAGAAGAAAAAGCCAAGAAATTAGAAGAAGAAAAGAAAAAAATGATAAGTTTAAAATCACCGATTAAAAACAATGAATCAAAAGTCTTTAAAATTCAACCTCAATTACAACAAAAATGTGCTCAATGTAAAAAAAWTGTTGAAGATATTTCAGTAGGTATATTTTGCAAAGAAACATGTTTGGAAAAACATATTGAAGAAAGTGTAGCTGCTATAAAAGCATGTTGTACATCAGATTCACCGGATATTATTCTATTTGACAAAAAAAACAGCAGATTAATCTCTGGTATGTAATTATTTTACCATTATATAATAAATGTGTACAGTCGTTGCCAGATAAATTGAGCAGGTGATGGTGGCACAATAATAAACAACCAGGAATWTTCAGTATTTAAATGTCAGCCATTTATAATGGCACTTTTATAATAAACAAATTGATGAGTGATTGAGGCACACCGTGCAAATAGACACACACCTCTACTATAGTTTGGGATACACCTATTAAAAAGCGGCACCTCTGCTCAATTTATCTGGGAACAACTGTGCAACATCGCTTAAGAAGTAATTCCTTACTATAATATGATTTAAGATCAAGATTTTCATATATTTTTGAATTTTATTTTTACAATAATATACTTATATTTTCTCTCTAGCTTATTAAAATATCTCTTTAAGACTACAGTTATTATAGACTCACAACATATATTAAGTGGTACAATTTTTTTTTTTTTGGGAGAGGGGTTGGTCAATTAGTGTAGTGGTTGCTAATCACTAACAAATATAAATAAGAGTAAAAAGAATATTTAATTACTTTTGGTGGGTAGAAAGTAAAATTATGTCTTATTACTCCTGAAAAATATCTGTTAGGCGCTACTGTATTGGAATATAAGTCACAAGATGCATAATCAGTAATTTTTCTCAATCAGAAAATCATCATTCAATTAATTAATAACAATAAAATATTAATTTTAGGCATTTCTTAAAGTTTGTTTAATTTTTATCAAAGTTCATTGTTAATAAGTATTGATAACGGATAAAAAACTACAAAAAAAAATCTGTCTTTATTATATTGTTTTCAATATTAACTAAAATGAGTTATTAAGAAGCAGCAATGGGTGACTATACATTCAGGGAATATGCCATCTTATAAATTATAGTATAGAATCTAAAAGTAATGGTTGTTAATAAAACTGACATCATGTATTATTCCATATAAGTTAAAATTATGTTACAGGTAAACAAGCTCCAAAACTTGCAAATTTAAGACAATGGTTGAAAGAAAATCCAGCATTCCAAATTTTAAAACCCTCTGGACCTAAAACTGACCTTAATAAACCATCTTTTAAATCTCAAACTAATTCTAAGCCAATCCCAAATACATCCAAAAGTCTTAAAAAAGAAAACGAAAATCGCCTTAAAAGAACAGCCATTTATCCAGAAAAACATAAGGCAAAAGAAATAAAAAGAGAATTTGATGTGGGAGATTTATTACAACCAGATCAAGTCAAACTAGTATTTGTTAACAAAGATTCACCAAAATCAATATTACCCAAAAGAGAACCAATTAAACATATTAATTCTCAAAAAGAACCTATTACACATCCTACTCCTCAAAAAGAACTTAATAAACATGCTACCCCTCAAAAAGAACCTAATAAACATGCTACCCCKCAAAAAGAACCTAATAAACATGCTATCCCGCAAAAAGAACCTAATAAACATATTACTCAAAAAGAACCTATTAAACATACTAATCCTCAAAAGGAGTCATCCAAAGGTATACAATCAGTAACACAGATAAAAAGTACATCAATTTCAAAAACAAATGTTGTGCAAAAAATTATTAAGAAAAAACCTGAACCAGTTAAAAAAATTGATCTACCAGTAAAAGAAATTTTCAATGAGAAAAAGGGTGAAGAACAATTACGTACTAATGTTCGTAAATCTTTATTAGAATCATTAAGTAGTAGAATATCTGAAGAACCAGAATTAAAAACAGCTGAACAAGATTTGGAGGAATTAACCTCGAAAATTGAAGAAGAACTTTATAATCAATTTACTAAGGTTGATCAGAAATACAAAACAAAGTATAGAAGTTTATTATTTAATATAAAAGATCCAAAAAATTTAAATTTCTTTAAGAAAATTATATTTAAGTGGGTTACACCATATCAATTGGTGCGTATGACTGCTGACGAAATGGCATCTCAAGAACTTGCTGAGTGGAGAGAACGAGAAAACAAACATCAAATAGAAATGATCAGAAAAACAGAGTTAGATATGATGAATCAACCAAAGGCTTTACTTATGAAGACTCATAAAGGAGAAGAAATCATTGAATCCAAGGATAATAAGGAGACAATAGTATCAGAACTTAATCCTGACATTAAGGTCGAGGAAAAGAAACCACAGATTTTATTAAAATTATCCAAAGAAAATAAAAAGAGCAAATATAAAGAAAGCAGTAGTGGTGGTGAACGTGATCGTAGACACCATAAGACTAGTAGAAATCGTCATAAATCACACAAGGATAAAAAACATAGAAGTCGTGACCGAAGTAAAAGCCGAGACGTTAAGAATAAAAAAATTGATAAAAATAATATAATTGATACTGTAACAGAACCAGTTGTTAATAAAACTGAAGTACGTAAAGATGATGATATTAGTGATAGGGAACCAAGTTCAACTGTTGTTATAGCTACTCCGCCTCGAATGGAAGATGAAGCTGGCCCTATATGGAAAGGAACCATAAATTTCACAGACGTTGCCCGTTGTAATGTAACAATGTCTCGATTATCTGGTAATGTAATTGGATTGGAGGCWGAAMTTACATTAACAGTTCTGGAATGTGTTGGGCGTATCAAACAACAAACGGTTTGGGAATATATGAGTAAATTGAAAAAAACTGGAACCAAAGATATTATTGTAACAAAGTTATCAGCGGGTGGAATGGAACAACAAATGTCCTACCTGAGCCTGTATCAATACCTGAGTGCTAAAAACCGCATAGCAGTTATTGATACTAAACTATTTCCAAACATAAAAGATTTTTATCTGTATCCTCTTGGAAGTCATAGTCCTATTCCTCAGGTACTATTGCCATTAGATGGACCTGGTATCGATGACTATAGAACTCATTTATTACTGGGTATAATAGTACGAAATTCTAAGAAACATTGGGTTCCATCTTGGAAACCAGCTGAAAATAACTATGCGCTACCTGATATCAACGACACTTTGGCTTTACCTCATCTTAAACCTGCTTTTCCATCATCAAGTCAAGACAGTTATTCACCAAAAGAAAGTTATACTCCACCAAGATCSCCAACTAACAAAATTCTCAGTTTACCAACACCAGTTTTACCACTATCTTCAGGTAAACATTTCAAGTGTTTTTAATAGTGCTCGTACAAATAGCTAAAATATTTGTATTTATAATTATTGATAATAGATTAATACGTTGTTCACTTTTTGATTTACATACAATAAGTTTTATGATTTGTATATTTTTATTTTACTTTTTAGTTTTGACTGATGATGACTTGCCTTATATACCTGGAGAAGAAGAACCATATTCGCCTGTAGATGAAGATGTGCCTAGTTTATCTGATAATATAAATACAGCATCGAGTATTGAACAACAAATGGAAGAACTAACTAGAAAAATTGAAAAAGAAAAACTAGTGATTCAAATGATGACTGCCGGTTCTCAAAATTCAATTCTTATTGATGACAATGTATGTATATCATAATATTGTTTTTCTCACATGATTTATTAATTTATTATTATTGTTATATATAGTCTCAAGATTTAGATGAAGAAGTATATAGTCCTACAAGTGAGCTGGCCCCTCTTACATCTGAAATTCATCTTCCTAGTAATATTAAAGATATACTTTCTTCCATAAACACAAAAGAATTACTTTCAACTGAACCGGAAAACTCTAAAGCTACTACAGATGTTGAAAAGAAATGCAGAGACCCTCGCCAACGAATTTCAACTACTGAACCTCCACCACTTGGCGTTGAAGATGAGTTTACACCACCTTGTAATCCTGACATAAATTTACCTCCTCCCCATTTCTCAAATTCATACATGCAGCAACCTATAAATTATATTGCACCTATTCCTTATTCTTACCCTCCTCCTGGGTATATGCCTGATGCTTACCCAAATCAATATGGACCTCAGCAACCACCTCCACCTCCTCCAAGTATGGCATTAGACCAAGGAAAATATAATAATTATAATCAACCTGGTTATGCGTATAATACTGTACAATACCAACCACCTCCTCCACCATCTTACCCAAAAACTAAAAAAGGATCAAGATTTTGGGGCCATGGAAGTTCTAAAAATGAACCAAAAAAGAAAAAGTTTAAAAAATCAGGTGATCGAAGAGATAAAGGTTCTTGGAGACGTATGTAGTTGTTTCCTAAGTAATTTTTATGTTTTTGGGTCGTGTTTTTATTAAATGTATGTTTTAAATGTACAACTTATTTTATTTACCTTGATATATCGTTAAGAATTTTTTTAAATATATTTTACTCATTTTCTTATATGTATGTAAACATTACATGTATTTATGTTATTCATATAAAATTGTTATAAATTTTATTGTATTTATATATAGTTAAGAATTAATAAATTTAAATGTAAATAACTTATGTGAATTTGTTGTGCAGGCATGTTACAAATGGAACATAATGTTAAATGATTTTATACAGTTAAAGTGTACAACTTTATATATTTAAATAACACAGACACTTAATTATGTTTTTAAAACACAATTAATATAATTATCGATGTTAATTTTTCTCAATAAAGTTAGATAATGTGGATGTGTGGATTATAAAGCCATGTTATAAACATCTTTTCATTACATTTTATTTTTGGATTAAAGTTTCAATAAAGACATTTCTGTAAATTAAATCATAATCTAACATCTTAGACATTTAGTCTATTGTTAAAAACAAATTAATTTATGTTTGTTTTTTCATTATCTTAATATAAGTGAGTATGTATACAACATCTTTAGTATTTTTAGATGATAAACATAGACTTCTATCGCTATATTATTGTAATAGATACAACATTGTGTTATAACATTGTTGAATATGTTTGGTGTACCATTAGTTTAGTTACTGAAATAAAACCTATTTAATTAATATATGTATGTTTCACAGTTTCATCTCATTGTCTAATCTAATAAATTGTAAATATTGTAAATGTTGTATATTATGTATTCTTATGCTGAGTATGTTTTTTACTAAATACTTAAATTTACTTGGCATCTGCTCAGGAGTATGCTATAGGATCCTAGCGTTAATCAGAAAATACCTTAAATATGAGTAATTAGGTGGGTATTGAATATTGATGGAAGGAAAATTGGACGTTTTATAGGTATATATGGTAATGTATGAAGGGAAAGTTACCTAAAATTATTTAAGCAACTTCAATTTTTTTTTTTATATACGCCAGTATAAAATCTAATTTACATGGCTATATGTTTTCAAGGCACAAACGTACTTATATAAACATCCAGATCCACAAAAAAACCTTTTGATATAATTTTAACTAGATGATGTTGGTCAGTATCAATGCTGAAAAGATCTTTTACACTTTTCGAACTATAATATATATATATATATATATGTGATATATTTTTTTTTTATTATCATTAAATACAGATAAAAATAATTTGCCAAGTCAAAAAGCTAGAAAACGTAATGCAAAGTTTGGTGTATACATAAGAAGTTCATACTAAAAAATATTTAATAAAAGGAACCATTATAGTTTATGAGTTGTCATCCAAAAATATTACTTACATGAACTTGAAACATTTATGATTATGACATCTTTAAATATTTTTTTATAAACATTAAAATTTCAATGCATTTAGATTAATTATATGATATTGTTATATTGCATATTTGAACTACGAACCTATTCATATAATTAGTTAGAACTGTATATAGCAGAGTTGTTAAATGTAACCTATTTTCCTCCGTYTAAATTCTGGGTCAAAGTAATGAATGTATTGATTTTAGTGATCTTACAACGATTTATAGTTTTTGTATGTGTACTAAACACAATAAACAAAATAATGCATAACAGTATCTTTTCTAGAGGGGAAATGAATCTARTTGGTGAATTCGGGAAGTTAAATTTCTCAATAATTTTCCAAAGATACGAGAAAATAAAGAAAAACGAGAAATTTTAAGCAAAACTAGTTTTCCGGAATTTGGCTGGAATGTATTCTTCCGGAACTGAATATTAATTACCCGTTAATATAATATATTTCACTGGATTCTTGACCAGCCGATGATTACACGTATGTCTGTTTTCATATTATTATCCTGAGCCTAAAATTTACTTTTTAGACTTAAAGTAAATATTCTTTAACACGGACAGTTTACTGACATAGCGACAAAGATACGTACATTTTTATTTCCAAAAGTGCTATGTATAAAATACGCGAGGTCGCGAGCCCAATCAAACCGAACGCCGTTTTCGTTTCATCTCGACCKTCGCCCTGTAGTTTGTTTTATGYWCCTATTTTGCCTATAYTATACGCCGGGTAACTTTTTATGGATCTTAGATTTACGTTAAGTATTTAAAACAATGCTATATTTTCCCCGCCTTTTTTCAATCTATTTTATTTCTATTTTTTAGTTGATTATTTTGTATAGATTGTTTTAACTTCGACTCAGTATCCATGCAGAATGATCTCTAGAGCAGTGGTTTCCAAAGTGATGTACTCCATAGCGTTTTTTGGGCACGCCGTGCTGCCGTAAAATTTGAAATGGACTAAAAATAAATTTGAAAACCAACGACGGATGTGACGGAAAAGATTTWAAAAAAATGTATACATTTAATTAAATGAATATTTTGAATTTTCATATAACCTATTACAATTTTGTTWGGGTTTTATTTAATTTTTCTATTTCTTATGATTTGTCATGCTATTTCCTGGAGTAAACCTTAATTCAAAAAGGGTGATATGATCCAAAAATTTCGTTTTCTAGAGGACCATATATTAATCATTTGTTCAAAMATTAATTATTGTGAATAATCAGAATTGATTTTTCATATTTTAACWACAGGTTATTATGTTCATAAATTATACCTAATTCAAGGTATTTAGGAATGTAGCGATTCTATACGCTGCGCAGTTTAGTCTCCTAGAGCTCATATAGCTAAATTATTATTTCTATTTGCTTCTTAAAAGGCGTTTGACTGCGAGCACTCACATTTCCTTTCATTTTTTTTTTTATTTAGACAATATAGTATGTGACTTAGCTGCGTCGAAAAATTGTCAAAAGTATTTATTCTTTCGTTGGACGTAAAATTATCATATTAAATATAAATATAAAACCTACTGATTGGTTATCGAAGTTGATATATTGAATTTAACATATAATTACTAAGAAAATATTATTTTGCAGGGGCTAAGACTCTCCACTGTACCGACTAATAATTTAATATAACAGATTATATWAAAATAGACTACACTAATCTATGGCAATATGGCGTGGTAATCTGGGGCGGTAGATAGGTACCTATAACAATGTTCTTAATTTCTTAAGGGTACAACAAAACATAATTTCATTATGTTTAGAAACAATCTCATTGCGTCTTSCCACTATAACTTATAGTCTATAAGACTCAAGACTCTACAATGTTTGAACATAACAGTTGTAGTTTCAGCAAACAGACAAATTTAAAAGAGGAAAAGATTATACTTATACAACATTAAAGTAGTATACATATTACACAAAATAAAAGTTTTGGCATAAAATTCATTAACTATATGGCTAGGTATTGGAATTTTAAAATCTAAACAACGAAGGAAAATAATTTTGTGAATTATTATAGATAGGTACATACATACAAACATACAAACTAATATTAACATTTGTTTAAATAATKTATTATTTAAATCAAATTAATTAGTTTTCATACATAATTTATTTGAATTAAAAGTATATTAAAACTTCCTACCTTTCAACAAGCTTAGCTTAAAAGTGGTAATTGTATTATATATTAAAACATTGTATAGTATATTATTTAATACTTACTAATTATATTATCAATTATTATAAGAGTATAATATAATATAATATTTTTATCATATATTATTATTAATTTTTAACTTTTAAGTCAAACAATTTACCATACAACTGTGAATAGATTTTATTTTTGTCTGTTGTTTAGTATCAAATATCAAATATCAATGTATAATATAAATATCTTAACAAACATTATAGCTTGAGTRATTCTATTCCAAGCAAAACAGTTTTTACTATGTTGTACCTACATTTGTAAGACGTAGACAAGACATGCCGGTGTAATATCCTCTTAATATAAATATTTTGAAAAATAATTAATAATAATTAATAAATGACTAAATTTTTTAAACTGTTTTGTTGAACAACGAACATAGTCAAAATTTAAATTGTCTAATAAAATGTCTATGAAGTATAGACAAAGAAATTGTGCATGTATTTACTTATAGCCTTGAGAAAACATTGTATTACATTATTAACTAAAACCATGTATACTCTGTTCCACAAGACAACATGCTGAATAAGATAAATCCATCCTCTAAGACATCACAATAAAATAAATTACACRGTTAATTAATAATTACTTGATATCATACAAAACTGTTTATTTTTCTATACATAATCATGATCCATTGTATGTACAATTAACATATTATTAATTAATSAACGAAAAGTTGAATTTTTAAATAAACAGATATTCATATAATATAAGACACCTATTTATTGTTTAGGTTTAAAAATTAATGAATGGTATAAACAGTGTTTTTAAAGATGAGTTTATATTTAATTTACAGAAATAAAATATTTAAGTTTATTGTTATGTATCTTTCATTGATATTTTTATTTGTAATATAAAAAATTAAATTTAGAAAAACATGATGGAAATCGATCAAACAAAAGGGCTTAAACTAAAGGCTAAGTTCCATGAACACTTGATGAATGCTCAAAAAACCTAGCTATATAATTATTATTAGTTAATCATTAAATATAGTTTAAACATCTAGTCTTGTTGCACAAAAGGATTGGCAATTGCTTCCATACCATCAACAGGACAAATTAGTACGATTGATGTGCCTCGACATACAACCAAACCTAATGTTCTTGTATCTTCCGTTAGTTTCATAGGTTCATCAGGATCTCGTAAATACTCTAGAGTATTATCCAATACGAGATTTACTAATGGATCAAATCCTTTCAAAATACCAGATACTTCTCGACCTCCAGAAAACTTAACCCTAATTGCTTTTTCCAAGTACCTAAAAACGCAAAAAATATACCATAATTTCGTTACATAAATAGAAATATTCATGCAATTAAATTTTATTTATGCTCCACTAACCTTGTTAAATCTAAAATACTCTCCTTTTTCTTTTTTTCTGGAGCTGAAGCAGCTTCTTTTCCACTCATCTTAAATTCGTTGTCGGCACTTGGAATTCGAAAAATGGATATTTGTTTAAATTTCTGGTAATGGTAAATATCATAATCATGATTGCTATCAAACATGTTTATACTTTAATCGTGAACATAACCAATAATTGTAATCGTATCGTGATCGTAACCAGTGAACGGAATATTCTACCGGTGTAACCACTTATTTATACCATGCTTCATGTGTGATTTGTAGTTAGTACACTTAACCTAAAACTAATCTTTTTAAGTCAGTAATTACTTCATAGTTCTGACTTCATTACTTCATAGACCATACTACCATAGTTATAAATTTCATACCTCAATAGTCAATATTTCATAGTTCATACTTCTGAATAATTAATAATTATATTTTTGACTTTTGTTTTTAATGCATAAATTTGTAATAATGTTATGTGATTTTTGACTTTTGTTTTTAAATGGTTTTATTGAATTGACAAAATGAGTGACGACACAAGTAATTTTTTAAATAATGTAGTTTAATACTAAGTAATTTTTATAATTTTTTCACTTACAGCATTGCCAGGTCCCAGCCTGGAGTTGAAAATAATGGCTGAAGATAGAAAATTTTCCAGTCTAGAAGGTCATGTATGTGAAAATACATTAAAGGGTATAGCAGACATGGGATTTACAGTTATGACTGAAATTCAAGCAAAAACTATACCTCCTTTGTTGGAGGGACGAGATTTAGTTGGAGCTGCTAAAACTGGCAGTGGAAAAACATTGGCCTTTTTAATACCCGCTGTAGAATTGATTTATAAGCTTAAGTTCATGCCCAGGAATGGTACTGGTTGTATAATTATATCTCCTACTAGAGAATTATCAATGCAGACATACGGTGTATTAAAAGAATTGATGAAACATCATCATCATACCTATGGCCTCATGATGGGAGGTGCAAATAGACAAACTGAAGCTACAAAACTGTCCAAAGGTAAATTTTTATTATTTTAACAATAGATAAAAATTTTATGAAAAAAGCAACTTTTTGTGGATTCTCTAAACTCATAGATTTCTCACTTTGATCGACTTATTTAAAACAATGTCATYTCACTATTTACTTTCTTTGACCCATATGAAACAGCCATTTTGGGTTCATCGTAACATTGTGTTTTTAGTTTTAATATGAACATATAAACACTGTTAAGAGTGATTAATTATATATTATCTATGTTAATGAGCTCAATTCATCCTAAAATATTAAGCCCCCTTAATAAGTGCTTAAATACTCGGGAAATTTTAAAAGAAGCAAAGATGTGTGGGGTTTTTGCCCCTTATACTCCTTATATCTGATACATTTGATACAATCATCAATTTAGGAGGTTTTTGGTCGCAAACTAGATCTGTAATTTTATACCTATGTTTAATTTTTAAATACCTGATATATGTTTTAATAACTTTTTTAATATTAAAATATAAATTAACATCAATTATAATATTCAAACTTCATTCATGAAAAATCTTATTTTTATTTACAGGTATAAATATAGTTGTTGCCACCCCTGGAAGATTATTAGATCACTTACAAAATTCACCTGATTTTCTTTACAAAAATCTTCAATGTCTCATTATTGATGAAGCTGATCGTATTTTGGATATCGGATTTGAGGAAGAAATAAAACAAATAATAAATTTATTACCAAGTGAGTTTTTATAATCAAATATTGATTTATATTTTATAGGTATTTATTTATAATAATTAATAATCGAAATGTGTTTAGAACGAAGACAAACAATGCTATTTAGTGCCACTAAAACACCTAAAACCGATGCATTGACTACATTTGCATTAAARAAAGAACCAATTTATATTGGAGTGGATGACAGTAAAGATGAAGCTACAGTTGACGGTTTAGAACAAGGATATGTTGTATGTCCATCTGAAAAACGATTCTTACTGTTGTTTACATTTTTGAAAAAAAACAGAAAGAAAAAAGTCATGGTGTTCTTTAGCTCGTGTTTGGCAGTAAAATATTTTCATGAGCTATTAAACTACATAGATTTGCCTGTTATGTGCATACACGTAAGATATTGTATTCAATTTATAATTGTGTTTGTAGTTACTTTATCTGGTTGTGATATAGGGTAAACAAAAACAAGAAAGGCGGACCACTACTTTTTTTCAGTTTTGTAATGCGGAAACTGGCATATTATTGTGTACTGATGTTGCAGCCAGGGGATTAGATATTCCATTAGTTGATTGGATTGTTCAATATGATCCCCCTGATGATCCCAAAGTGTGTATATTTACTTGAAATAATACTAATAATAAACAAATTGTTTAATTGTTATTATACATTGTTAGGAATATATTCACCGTGTAGGGCGTACCGCTCGAGGTGAAGGTAGTAGTGGACACGCTTTATTAATTTTGCGTCCTGAAGAATTAGGATTCCTACAATATTTAAAAAAAGCGAAAGTACCATTAAATGAATTTGATTTTTCATGGAATAAAATATCAGATATACAACTACAACTTGAAAAACTCATAGCTAAAAATTATTTCTTGCATATCTCTGCAAAAGAAGCATTTAAATCATATGTCCGTGCTTATGATTCACACCATCTTAAACAAATATTTGATGTTGGAACTTTGGATATTACAAAAGTTGCAGCTTCATTTGGATTTACTACACCTCCAGCTGTAGAACTAAATGCAAAAGCAGTTCGACCACGAAAACGACATGGTGGTGGTGGTTTGGGAAAATTCAATAATATGAATAAAGGTGATAAAAAAGTGTATAAATTTGTACAACCTCCAGATAAAAAGAAAAAAAAGAAATAAATGATAAATACTGATTTTTTAATGTACGCTTATATTTTTTATTAAAATTTGTGCCATATAGCTCTTATGTAGGGCTCAAGTATAATACATAATGAAACTATTAAAATGTAAATATAATAGTCATTAAATGTATAAATATAATTATATTTTAGTTACAATAAGTTAATTATGAGTAAAAAACGGAAACTTGAGGAATACAAAATTATTGTGTAAAATAATACTATTGTTCTACACATTTATTGAGGGATCTGATTAATATATTTATTATATACTATGTATATTTCACAATAAAAAGTATGGTCAACTGAAATTGAAGATAGAACTCAATGAATTTATTGCAGTTACTCATGACTCGATATCAAGCATATCGCTACAATGTTTGACTTAAAACATTCATCTGATAATTTGATCCTAGAGTAATGAGATTCTAAATAGATAATTCTAGTCTTACATTGATCCTTGGTGTTTTTTTTAAATGTACTCAAAGTAAGGTTCGAATTAATATTTTGTCACAACTAATTTTCAGTCAATACCCTCCACTATAATTTTGTTAATTGTTGGAAATTTTCTATTTTACCTCCCAAGCATCCCAACTGTATACTATTCTCTACCAGTGTCAACCCACAAAATTGAATATTGAGGCTACTATAAATCATACATAGTATAATTTATCTGTGGGGGCACCTCATTTATTTAATTTCAAAAGTAATTACCCTTTAAGAACTGACCCCTACAGTAAATTATTAACCAAGAATATATTTTTTGGTAAGTTGTGATCTATTTGTATCGTAGTTGGTGAATATTAAATTATAATAATTATTAAGAATTTAGTTTAACACAAATTATGTTATATCCAGGACTTGAGTAATGCAATCTTTTTTCGATTAATATGTTTTATTTTAACATGAATAAAACAGATATCATAATTTATTGGACAATATTGAGAGTTAGGACTATTTTGATCCAAGTACTATAGGTAGTCAATAGAACAAAGTTCTGAATTTCATATAAAATAAAATCAGCGATTATGAAAACATTAAATATTTATAATTGAGGATTTGTCAGATCTTAGTGATTCTACAAAACTTTCTAGCCAGTACTACAGCGTTTGTAGTTTACTATTAGTTTTGAATGTTTTGATAATATAATATAATAAACACACAGACTTCCATACTTATTATAGAAGTCCACGGCCATATATATATATAATCTATATGGATGTGTAGAAGTCTGTGAATAAACATCGTGGTACCTTATCTAACCACAGAATAGGTGAAATTATTATTATTATTATTAATCGCCTATTCTGTGATCTAACCGTGGTTTTATCTTCTTATCTCTATTTATAATCAATATTAGGAATGCAACAATGAAAACCCGCCATTTTCATGTTATCATTTTAAGTTAAACTCGAAAATGTCTAAGTAATGTTTCTTTAATTTTATCTAAAATCTAAATTCGTATTACAGACTACGGTTTATACTAATTTTCATACCGTTTTAAGATTTATTTTGTCTTGACTGTATCAAAATACTACATATTGATCACTACAATTAGAACCACGACTGACCACTGGCCAGTGGATACGCGAAAAAGTACAATTAACACAATAATTTCAAATTTTGATTTTTTGTTCATTTTATTTGTATTTACTGTTAAGTTATACATTTTATACAATACATTTAATTATAATGAATTCAATCGATCTGTGATATTTTATGATGGTGAATTATTTATGCTTTTAAAGTAAAGTTGTATTCTTTTTGTACCAACATTTGTTACTAATCCAAACCTAGTTTTGTTTACTACATTATAAATAACTATGTATAAAAGAAAGTTTCCAAAAACTGTAGTCGAAAATGCATCTTCTCAGTTGCACAAAAAATCTACAAATTCTTCTTTAAATGGTAGTACACCAAGTACGTCTATTACATACACTAACACAAGTTTGGAAGGTCAATCGCCGGAATCGCCATCAATGCTGGAGGAATTTGACCATTTTCCTGTTGTAAATAATATAAATTCTATGGATGATAATAGTGTTGACAATACGACGGATTGTTCACAACCTTTGTTTAATGACAGTGATGATGTTTATTCATATTTAAAACAAACATTCATGAGCTGTGGCTTACATTTAAAATGTGATCAAAATATATTGTGTAAGTAAATTACAAACTATATATCTATAGAACATACAGTTTAATATGAAACACATTGTTTCAAATGATTATTAATTTCTTTTCAGCCGTTAAAGAGTATGAATTCCTGCAAAATATTAACTCCAAACTATCTAACGATTCTGAAGAAATTGGTGAAATTGACGT